GTACATGGACCGGTACCAGCAATCACGGAAGAGGAAGTCCGCATCGCCATAATGAAGACCAAGAACTGCAAGGCGACGGCTCCAGATGACGTCTCCAACGAGTTCTGGAAGGAGTGTGGACAGGCCGGAGTCGCGTGGCTAGCACGACTTCTAAACCAGATAGTAGAACAGAAGACGATGCCACGCGACTGATATAGAAGTACAACAATACCGATATGGAAGAATCGAGGAGACATAGCTGACTGCACTACTTACCGTCCCATCCGACTTATGAGCCACACACTAAAGATCTTCGAAAGAATAATAGAAACACGACTTCGAAGAATTGTGGAGCTGGCATCCAATCAGTGCGGATTCGTCAAGGGATGCAGTACAACCGACGCCATCCACACCGTCAGAATAATGATGGAAAGAAGCTGAGAAAAGCAGTGTGCGTTACATGCAGCATTCCTCGACCTGGAGAAAGCGTTCGATAAAGTACCGCATAACATCATATGGTGGGCGCTGCGGAAGCACATGGTTCCAGAAGAATACGTGCAGTGGATAAAGATGATCTACAGAGATGCGACCAGCCACGTACAAACAGCAGCAGGAGAATCAGAAGACTTACAGATAAAAGCCGGCGTTCATCAAAGATCCGTGCTGTCACCGCTCCTCTTCATCACAGTTGTGGACACGATAGTCAGAAACTTCATACGTCAACCTCCATGGGCCGTGATGTACGCAGATGACGTGATTCTGATGGCGAGAAGCAGGAATGAATTGGAGGCGGATGTGCAGAAGTGGAAATCTGAACTCGAGCTGCACGGGTTGAAGATCAACGTCGCGAAGACCGAGTACATGGAGCTTGGAGCTCAAACGCCAGGAACCATACAGATTGAAGACGCTCCAATCAAGAAGACTACTTCCTTCAAGTACCTAGGAAGCCGCATCTGCGCAGATGGTACGATCCAAGAAGAGATAGCTGCCAGGATAAACGCAGCTTGGTCGAAGTGGAAGAGCCTCACAGGAGTCATGTGCGATAGGCGGATGCCACGCAAGCTGAAGTCCCAGTTGTACCGTAGTGTGATCCGCCCGACAGCTCTATATGGCAGCGAATGTTGGCCGTGTACGCGAAGCGACGAACGTAAAGTCAGTGTGATGGAAACACGCATGCTACGATGGACGGCAGGCGTCACCATGATCGACCACGTTACCAACGATACCATACGCGCAACGATGAAGGTCGCCCCAATAGCTAAGAAGATGCAGGAGAGAAGACTTCGGTGGTACGGTCACGTGCAAAGAAGGGAAGAAAGCCATATCTCCAGATCAGCCACAGCAGAAGAAGTACCAGGAAAGAGGCCAAGAGGAAGGCCAAAGTTGAGGTGGTCGGATAAGATCAAAGCGGATCTGAAAGAACTAAAGATCGAAGAAGAGCAAGCCTTAGACCGCGAACTGTGGAAGAGACTTACAAGAGTGGCAGATCCCGAGTAACCGGGAAGATGCATGGATAAAAAAAAATTAATTCGGTAATGGGCTTATTTGCACCTCAACGTTCTCTCTTTCTAGCCCTGCAAAAGTTCCATTTTTCTTCCTAACCTCTTCGCAACATGAGTATAATTTAGCGAAGGGTTATCGCAAGCTCTCAGCCTTATCAAAACATCCTGATATGACCATAATCGTATCTGAAATGTCCTTGCTATTTACGATATATGATGTGAAGCATTTTAGTGCCGAAGACATTGGCGCTGATATTTGCTAATATCCTTGCTTGACTGTGACAGTGGAAGATCTCAGACTGTGAAGACTTTTTTTTGCATTGCAATTAGAGGTATTTCAATTTTCCAGGCTAACAACGCTTTATTTTATGAGATTAACTTTTAAGCCTGATGCATAAGTTTTGCAACAGAAATTAACAGACTTTATAACTTCTTCTAACTTTGGGAAAGTCGTGATTAAGCATCTTATATGGAGAAGATTTTGCACTTTTTAGTAGTGTTTAGAACAGAACATTTGATGTCACATCACAATGATACAGGGTGATAAATAGGAACTTTACAAAGTGACCTTTGATTTTGCTTGCTAGAATTGCTCAAAATCTTACTGAATTCTAATTTGGGTTTTGTTCTACGTGACCCAATGTTCCTAGCAACCAAGTTCATGCTAATTGAACCTTTTTACAAAATGTTATTATTCTCGAATATTTCTTTCCACTTCTTGCTTTCACTTCGAATAAAACTTACATGTAAAATACAAAATTCAGTCGAGCTACAGCGACTGTGATTTACAAAAATTATTTAACACATTGTCGACCAAAGTCTTTCTCGAACCAGCCAACATTTTTCAGATAAAATCACATTCACATCAAATCAATATTCAAGCTTCCATGATTCAAGTGTACTTGAGCATTCTCTGAAGTTTTTAAGCCTTACGAAATCGCAGTAAATATACAGTTTTCTGGTTGAATAGTCTACTCATTTTATTCACAAAAATAGCTTCCATTTCACGAAGCTTATGGATAAAAGGTGAAATCCAGCAATACTTACTTGTATCATCTCCAGTTCATTATTTGGTTGACCCCATCCCGAACAGGAGTAATTCATAAAGTTCAATAACACCTAATAATGTATACGGGCATAATGGCTCTCATCCGGTTTACGCTAATTGCCGTGACAATGTCCCTATGTTCTCCTACTATAGTGGGAGGAGTCACGTGATAAAATTTTACATAGACCTTTCTCTATTATAACTTGTATTTTTCTGAATATTGTCAGAACTACGATTGAATGACCGTGATCATTCTCATCACATTTTCAGTCATAAGTAACTAAACATCAATCTTTCCCAAAAGTGAAGACTTAAGTCTAATGTAATGATGCTTATTTATGAGGATTTCTGCTATTTGTCGAGTGGCTTTGAATACCATAAGTGTCAGGCACGCGCCATACTTGATCCGCTTGATCCACTTTACTATTGGTCAGTTCACTGAATTGATCAAGGATGAAACGGACAAGCGGATCAAGTATGGCGCGCGCCTATGTAGCGGTTTTATGTTGAGATGGAGAATGTTGTTTTTTGAGTTTATAAGTCCATCCCTAGAGATGCGTCCTTGATAAATAGTTTGCGTTCTATCCCTAGAGTGCTTCATTCTACGTGTTTGTGTCCACTCTCAGAGGAACAACAAAAAGTCTTACACGCTATCAAACTTCTCTACATACAAACATAACCATGGAAACAATGGCAATTCGCAGTCATTCAAATGGTGCATTGTGCGGCTCTGACGATTTTGGGTAGAGTTTCCAGAATATTTCATAGTTCCTTCTACGTGTTTACGTGGGCATAACCTCTCATTTGATTCAGAAGATACCAGGCTTCTTATGCATTGTATTTGGTTTCCGTATCAGACTACACAATTGCTTTTCGTCTCTGAAACTATTCTAGTCATTTGATCACCTTAGTCAAGGAGATTATTTTCAAAAACAATTCTTAGCCTTTCACTATGTGCGCAACAACCAATTAGTGAGTCTTTCTGGAAAGATTATTGGTAAGATAAAACAGCCAGTAAACATGCCTGCTAATGGAAAAACTGAGACGGCTCTCGAGTTACCAGAATAGGTGGAATGAAACTGCGGTAGAATCGAACCGAAGGTCTACATATAAACAATTCAATCGGGAAATATTGCGGCAAATTTGCTCTTTTTCTCCTCCCGATGTGTGTCACAAGGCCTGCTAGTATCGTCAATTTTGTAGATCCCCGCTATGAAATGCACAATGAAAGTGGCGTTTATGTCAAGTAAAGCGGAAAAGGATACCAACATAAGTTGGAGATTGAAGCGTGATGTATACATCATTAAACGCGCCTTTGAATGCGGAATCCAAATGTGCTTTTCTTTTGTTCAAAAAAAGTTCCCGAATGAAGTTATGAGCGTTTATAAGTGGCCTCAAATTAGCGAGTAGCTGTACAAAAACATCTACAATTTTTTATTGAGTATATTGTCTGCAAGGAAGAACAAAGCCAGTGGAAATCCGTATAGGTATTTTTTGAGGCTTTTTGCTGATTTTAAGCCACTTAACGCTTGACAAATTTGGATATTCAAATACTCATAACTTTATACGGAGGTGTTCCTCAAGAAAGGAAAGCAGATCTGAAATTAGTGTTTAGAGGCGCGTCTAGTGGTACATTTCGTCTTCGATCGCTTACACATGTTGGTGTCCTTCCTTTGTTTAGTAGACATGCAACATTTAGATAGGAGTCAGTTCGAAATAAGGAACATCCTGCGAAGAAATAGCAGCAGGAGACGAGTTTTGGAGAGCTTACTTGGAGAAAAGATTAGGGAAAGATTGTAAGAAGTAGTACTTGATCTGAGTTTGTAATATGCTAAAGAGGGTGGGGTGTATGTCAGGAGAAGCAAGAGCAGCAGCAATCAGCGCATTTTTAGCGTTTAATAACTTTTTAGAAGTCCTTCGAATTTTCAAAGAGATATGCAAGACTAGTTGCCAGGGCTGTCAACCTTATATCTTGAAATAAATCGCATGTTGAAGGTGTCAGAACCCTTGGTAATGCAACTTATGACAAATTCGTAAATGTCTAGACCAATCCTTCACCAAAAATCGTCAAACTTAGCAAGTACATAATAACTTTGTCTGGTAATCTTGAAGAACTCACATAGCTCATTGGGCTGTTGATTTGGTGACCTTTAGAGAAATCGCGCCTCTTCCGTCTCCCAAGAAACTGTACATATTTAAAATAATTTGAATCCTTTACACACATTTTCAGCGGTCAATGAATCCAGTTTCCTTTCAACGACAAATTGCATGCCATACCCGTGGACGCATATGTGAATTTTTTGGCAGAACTCTTTTACTTTCGTGCCATCAGCCATATTTCGATATTTGAATGGTTTGGTTTTTTTCTACAACTCAGCATACCTCATTTGGTTTCGAACTTATGCGTTTCTCGTACCTCGTTTTATTGTTGTATGAACCCCTTCCACTTTACATAAGTTTCTTCTTTCAGGATGCTTAGGTTAGTACTATGGCTATGTATGTTAATATCAGCAATATGCCGACACGATACGCCCATAGTCATCGAACGACCGATGAATCGAGTGGAGTTTGATGATTTATTAATGGAATATAACCAGGACCAGGGTCCACATAGAAATATGTCGGTAAGTTGCTTACGTTACTTATTTAAGGCAATCATTTATGTTTGTTGTTTCAGTTCATGTTACAGAAGATTTGTTATAAAATCTAACATTTATAAGGACTTGTTAGTAATTTAGCCATCTATTGCATACATCCCATTTCAGGTAGCTATAGAAATTACTGTAAATAGCGCTAGATTATCAGAAGATGTGTTACGAACTTCACTAACCATCGAACAAACATGGAATGATGATCGTCTCGTGTTCAAAGGTTCATCGGAAGTTCCGGTAAGCACAGTGAACGACATTGGATCTTTAACCTTGCTCAGAGAGCTATTACAGCTACCAGCCAATACCCATGTTTGGTATCCGGACACGATGATCATTAATGCATTGAGCAACAAAGTCAAAGCTTCATCGATGTTCCTCAATTATGACGGGACTCTTCGAGAAAGGCAATTATGCAATGTAGAAGTCGTTTGTGAAGAGTCAAAGCCAGACAATGAGGTAAAGTATAATAGCTATAGATATTATTTGTCTTCTGCAAAAAGAGACGAATTCTAGTATTTGCGACAGAGAGACTCGCCTATTACCGATAAATTTTTGACCAAAAACAAAGTGACAAAATCATGTTTTTTGATTGCGTAAGGTTGGAGTCTACTACGAAGTTTCCGCTTCTATACTCAATTTCTATCCCCCAAAGCTCTCGAAAAGGAAGTTCTACAAGAATTTGACTTCTAGGAAATCACACCTTTGATTCTCGAATAAAAATGTCATCTACATGGTTCTATGGCTCGTGTGAACTATTTGACTTTCAATGGTTTTGGGTTAGCTTCATTTTTATGATCGATCTATGCAGTTTTTTTTCGACATTTTCGCCTTGGTTGGTGAAAGTAGTGTTGACGAGCCGATTATGATTTTTTTCTTGAAGCAAATATGAATTATTCAAAGAAATTAACTTACGTAAGATTAAATCTGTCTTTTTTTGCGGAAGACAATTTTTATGTTGATCTCTTTACAGTCAAACGTTTCAGAACCTTCGGTGCCCCATCACACTGACTAGCTTCAGTAGTCGTGGAGTCGACTACATGCAGTACACCATCAACATGATCGACATCGATCACGTCAATCGAATATTGAATGCCACAATCTCGTACGAGACCAAAACCGATCATCGAAATCGAACATCGAGTTTGGCTCATGCCATCCTATATCTACGGAAGCCACATCATCCTCTAGGCGATTTCATCGAAGAATTCAGCAAAGCAGCTCATCTTCAAGGCGAACACTGATAGTGCTAAGTTATAAACTTGTTTAAGAAAGGTGTACATTGTTACAATTTTGTTTAAATTTGGTCTCTTTCACTTCTGCATAAGATGAGCTTATGGATGTGCTACCAGATCTTCGGTGACTATTAACTCACCTTGTATAAAAAGTGCTTCTATAAAACCAAGAAGTGGTGTTTTGTTGGATGTGCGTGTGGATATTTTCTCTCAAATGTTTTTGTCTTTGAAAATGATCTCTAATCTCATGTGTTTATGATTGATAAAAAGTTTCTCTATGATGCTGCAAAAAGAAGGAGACCTGAGTTTTGAAATCTCTCAAGTAGCCACTTCTAGTAAAATGTCAATAGTGTGAATTTAAGCAATCAAAGGCAGTGTCCCGGCGGATTTTGGAACTCTATTTTCTAGCATTATCCGATCCTTTCCATCCCGCCTACTCGAATACGTGCTCTGAGGGGTCTAATAAAAGCGCTTTCACACTTCCAAACAGAAAGCTCGGACGAGTGTTTTTAGCTTTGAGGTACAAATGACCGATACGAGAACCCTGCGCCGGTAATTATACACTAAACAACATAGGGATTGCCCAAACCGTAGTGTGGGTCTCGTGCAAACCGAGTCACTGAAGTCGTACAGCGCCAAGGGCGCCAAAAATAAGGCTTGCACGCCGCTTCAGAAGGCGTTTTCTCTGAGGATACCAGACAGAATCTGATGCGAATTTGCCAGAAGCCAACAGGTAAGTCTACTATCTAACCGTGAACATTCCGGAACTCAAACTTGCCGGGACACTGCCCCAACTCCCAGCCCCGTAGCTCAAATTTTGCAAAAATCGATAAAATCGATATCGATCGATGACGAAAAGTGGCCTATGACACCCGCCCCGCCCGATTATGTGTGCCATCTTTGGTCCGGATCGGTTCAGAAAGAGGAATTTCTATACGGAACATACGTACAGACACACAGACACACAGACACCAGACATACGAACAGACATTCAGCTTTATATACATACAGGGTGTCCTAAAAGTAAGTACACACTTTTCAATCGCCAAAATCTCTCTTCCCAATGGGTCTTTTTTTGCCGGTCAAATATCATTCTGTAGAGGATGCGTCAACTTAGATTCATAGCGATCGAATCACCGATCGCCCTTCGTTACTGTGGGATTACGGTAAGAACTTCCAGCATGTGGAATCATTGAGAGATATGCCATCTGACAAGAATTTTTCAAAAAATCTGAAAAATCATGTACTAGGGTTTTCGCGCATGCTGATTCCACTACACAACTTTTTACGAGTGTTTCCAGCTCTTTTGACGATGCAATCACATTTTTGACAATACTGGGAATTCGGTTATTACGTTTACCTGGGATAACTGTGGAAAGAAGCATCACAGTAAAGTAAAGACTTCATATTCGGAATCAGCGGCTTCCACAAACATAGCACAAGGGTTTTTAGCTTGTTTGGTTTTGTTCTAAGGCAGATTATGGCTTCCAATGGCCTAAAATCCTTGTCGAAGTTCCTTCAGTATTTCTATTGTAATGAAGAGCGATCGGTGATTCGCTCGATGCTGTAATCTAACTTGAAGCCTCCTCTACAGATCGGCACTTGAAAGGCGGAAAAAGACGCAATGGGAAGAGAGATATTAACGGTTGAAAAGTGTGTACTTCCTTTTGGGACACCTTGTATATAAAATGATGGGCTGGAGTAATTGTACAGTTGGCGAAAAAAATCAAAAGTAGTGATCTTCAAGTGTTGGCATCAAAGCTGCCTGTATGTTGGTACTATTACAACTGCCAGCTTTGTTGTTGATGACTTTGTCAACTCTTAACGCTTCATTTTCTTGAAGGCTTCTGCAGGACGAAGGCGCAAAAGCAGTATTAGTGGGCGGTAGACGCGTGCATGCTCACCGTTGTAAACCCTGCCACTCATGCGCTTTGCGGCTTATAAAGCCGCTTTCGCGCCCAAAGATATTACGCGTCATGCAATCGTATACATTGTGGGGGAGGAGAGAGGATCTGAGAAATGACATGTCATGTTCCTGGGCTATAAATATGATGTGATTCGAAAGCAGATGTGAGGTTTGATGAGCAAGCACTCGGGCGCGAATTAAATGGCGTCGAGTTACGTATAGAGAAGTGCATAATGCTCCAAATCATTCTAGTACCACTGTATAGAGTACTTCCCCATACGACGACAGAATCAATTGAGTATACTGTGGTTGATGGCTGCGACGTCGCATAGTCTTTGATTAGACGGTTTTTCTGGTAAGAGCTCGATGGAGATCGGGAAACGGAAACCGAATTGAACTGACGTAAAGGTATGTTTTTACCTTCTTTGCCTGGTGGGACTCGTAATACAGAGCTATGAGCTATGAGCTTGAGTTGAATGCACTTCATTATAATTATAAACTTCGGATTGTGAATTTGGGAAAATGGGTTAGATTTTTACGACAGCGTATCACATCCAACCGCAGGTTCGACAGCCTAAGAGGATTTGCAAAAACAAATGCTTACGACCACGGCTGTGATACAAAATACAGGATACATTTTAGGATACATTTTACAACCTATTTCAGAGCACTGCCGTTTGTCTGCCTCACTGGTAGAAATGGGATGCTAATTTTACTTACAAGGTTGATAATACGATTCCATTTTCAGTAGCTGTCAAGGTATGATCGGCTCCTGTAACAAGTTCATTTTGAAAATCAGGGAAGTCCGCAACCCGCTTTTCACACAAATCTGGGAGCCGGTGATAGAAAGTTGTGAAATCCCTCGATCTCGCCTCGCTTTGGTTTTTTCCTCGCCGCCCTGGTAAGGCGCGCACGCTTCGCATCGCCCATGCACGACGTGGCGAGCGTCCACTCCTGACGCTTTGCCAGTTCAAAACAGCTGATCTCCTCCGACGCACAACGACCTCCTTGTGTTTTCTTTTTAATTTTGCTTTTTAGGATTTTTGTTGGCAAAGTGATGGATGGATACGGACTGGCGGCTTTTTATCATGAGATGCGTTCAATAATCAGATTGCGTCCAAAAACTGAGTATTCTGCTGCCTCTTCAGCCACATCTGGTATTCATCATTTTTTGCTACTCTTTTCTGTTGTAGCCGGTTTTTTTTCAATAGCAGGTACGCTTTGCGACATGCTGTCATAAAGGATCCACCGTGTTTCTCTTATGACACCAAGCAGTGCAGATCGTTTGGACCCTAGTGCACAATTCCGTTCTAGCCAATTGATTTGTTTTTTCTCGCTCAGTTACCAAAAGCAAATGAAAAACGCGAAGAAAACAATTATTCAACAATATACGGTCTTTATTTGGTCCTAATTGATTATTGATCGAATAAGTGATCATCATTTCGTACTTCCAACGCAGTCACGCACTTTAACTGGGTCTTTAATAAGGTTCAGTCAGAGTGCCGGCGTACGGGCGTACGTGACGTACGCAGCGCACGCACGGTATGTTTCATCGTAGAAGCGTACGCTACGTACGCCGCCTACGCCGCGCAGTACGGCCCAACCCATAGAACGTGCTTCAATTTTTCAAGTTCATTTGGCTTTTTCATAAAGTGTTCGGATAATTTAAAATGGCCACAGAAACGTGCTGCGCACACTGATTTTCAATTAATTTGCTAGTTCAGACTTTTTTAATATATTCGTGCGCAGCCTATTTTTTCTCCTTCGAGGTGTTGACGTCTCTAAGCATTGATGCTAGATGCATCTGAAAACATTACACAAAATAAGGTTAGTAGCTTGAGTCAAAGAGTCAGTTGTGTCTTTTCGACCAAACCGTAAAATGAAGCAAAAGCGTCTTATAGGCAACTCAACCAGAATGGAATAAAACTGTTGCTTATCACTAGGCTTGGCGTGCTATCACGGAATGGTGTTTCAAGTGCGCACATCCATTACTCAAAGTAAGTTTTTGTGCTCTTATGCATTCTCGACTCAAAATTCTCCAATTCTACATTCTGTTTTATCTCACAAATGTCTTAGATACGCGGTACAGCAGCCCTGAGCAGCGACTATCCATCGCTCGATTGTAGAGAATATACGCTCTCTAAAAGCTTTTGTTTGCATACTCATATTTGCACAGTGACAGCACGAGTCAACATTGCATGAACACCAAACAAGACCAGGACAAGGCCAATAACCGAGATAGAAAGAAGCCGTTCAAGAACTCATTTTTATAAGAAGCCTGTATTAGTGTATGTACCTATTTATTAGCAAAATGCTATATAAATCGTGTTAAGCTTTCGGTTGTCCTTCCATACATATCTTTTCCTTCATTTCCTCTAAGTAGTCTACTCATCTATTACTTATCATATTTATAAACTCACCATGCTCTTTTCTTTTGCCTGGAGAGCTAGGAATATTTAGATGTTAAACGTTAAGAAATTCATCGGCCTTTTGTCCTTGCATGCCGCTGGCCGACGGCATTGGGTACTCTTTTATTGTACTTCGTACTAATCAGACATGTTGATGGGCTGTATCACCTTTTGCTTAAGGTTATTCCTTGCTTGAATATAAACCGTTGTGGGAGATCGTTAAGACTTGTACAATTGGGTAACAAAATAGACGACTTTATAGAATTACCGCTACCTCTTCCTCAATTCTTATGCAAACTTACAGCCGAGAGCCTTACACAATGATGAGAAACCTCTAAGTAAATTCAAATAATGATGTAGTCACTTCTTACTACAGTGTACTTGCTTTTTCTCTTACTGTATGATTCGCTGATCGCACGGACTGCTAAAACGTTACGAACCACGCGCGGCGCTGTTGGAATTGTTTTTCAAAGCAGTTCAAGAGATGATTTGCAGACTTGCTATCGAGGTCAGTGAAATTTATCTGATATGAGGAACTTTTTGGACGGAAGTACAATGTTCATACAAAGTTGGACCTCAAGATGGGTGAATTTTCTCACTCTACAACAAAGTTTCGGAGTGTATGCCCTTCAATTTTTCAAAAAATTGGGTATCTCTATCTCGCTAAGCCAGTAGTGCTTATTCTATTTATTATTGGAAATTGTACTATTGATTACTAATTTGATATAATAGTATGTATCATTCATTCTCTGACTAGGAACCGCGAGCACGCTTTGCGTACGTATCATCGACATGTTCACGAATGAGTTTTGACACGTTTGGTTAATTTACTATTGAAATTTGTGGAAAACATGTTTAAGCTGGATTGAACACGTTCTTTCACGACTCAAAACGCGTTAGATTCCATTCATGAACTTGTTAATGAAATGTACGCAGAGCATACTCACGTCTCTTAGTCAGAGAATGAATGATAGATAGTAGTAAATCCTTGCACAATTCAATTAACCTTGAGTCACTGTCAGTCAGTCAGTCACCTTGAGTTTGTGACTTATTATGTGAGACTGCACACTAAGCCCTTTTAGCGAAGGCACCCATACTAGTAATTTCCCAGTAAAACATTTTCTAGTCCTACAAAATGTAGAAATGTGTCTAATGAGTAACATATAACCAACTAAAACAAAAGAAACAAGGAAATAAGGAGAAAACACTGGAATCTGCAGGTTCTCGTTTCGATGTTCGTCAGTTAGCGCGTATATTGTGCACTACGCATATTAAGTTACAAATGACTCGACGATAGATTTGTTAACGCAGCTCCTCCTATTGGTTTTTGATTCTCACTCAACTTCTTTTTTTGATGATTTTTCAGTGGATTGTAAATGATAAAAAAATACAGGGCAACTGTGCTTCTGGGATCTTGAAGGCCCGTACAAAAGTTCGTAGATTTTATGAATAGAAATGTATACACATTCGATTTCTGACGTACTGTCTGTAATCCTTCAGAAAGATAGCTGTGGCAACCTCTTGCACTGTCCGTTCTTCTTTAAAAAGGCGCTGTAAATACAAGCACACGAATACACCACAATTGTATCTATGTTCTTGCACGTGAACAACACCGGCGGATTCGATCGAAACGTCAAGACATTCCACAGGGGCGACTTTCCCAAAAAAAGCAAGTCTCCCAACTTTTCTAACGAATACTCGCTTCTAGTCTAATGTTATGACTTCGCGCTTGTGCGATGGCATGTCTGAGGGCGTCCGCTTTCAATTTCGCAATCCTAAAGCTTATTCAAGCGCTGCCTTTGAAGAAAAGGCCATACATGCCTGCTGCTTCCTATTGCTATCTATTGATACCCTGTTACTTCTGTTCAGTAATAGAATAATTAACAGTGCACTTCCAATTTCCCATATTAGTTCCACCGACTGGTGAGTATGTTTTCAAAGCGTTGTACGATCCGTGTTTCGTCTGCCTTTTATGGCAAAGATGAAAGGGATGTCACTATGGCAGAACTTTAGGAAGTTCTCGTCGCGGGCTCACGAAGACTTCGACCTCTCACGAGCTACGCTGCATATGCTTTTCTTTTAGAAAAGACAAGAGGCAGCGTTTTGCATTTGAAAGATCGAACCTGATAACAAAAAGAGGCCAACTCCTCCGAGCAGTAGCAGCAGCATGAGCAAGAAGCGAGCATCTGGTCTACATTGATGGGACATGGGTCTATAGTGAAATGATTAAGAAGAGATGGGGCGATAATAATATTCCAAGATTCGCTACTCGTTCCACCTTCGCCAGGTACTCGCATGGCAAGATCTGGTAAAAAAAAGGGAAAGATGGGGATAGTTATTGCTGCCATCACGGAAGATGGCATAATCCCCAAATGAACAGATTAGTGGTGAGCGGGATGAGAAACATAGAGGGGGATTATCCTGAGGACATGGACCACACACTAGAATCGTGGATGAAAGGGTCCCTTCCTCATATAAAGAGATGGGCAGATGATAGACGCGTTTGTCTGATTATGGACAACGCGCCTTATCACACAAGACAGGGAAAAAAGGTGCCTATTCGATCTTCAACAAAAGCGCAAATAGCCGCCTACCTAGAAGAAGAAGGAGTAACCGTTTTGGCTGATGCTGCGAAGGCGGATCTGCTTTACAAGGTGGCATAAGCAGAATTACAAATAAAGTATATAAACATTTCTTTAGCTGGACGCCCATGCAGGAGCAAGGAGTGGGATGTCAGCTCTTCGCAGATACGTCACGGAGCGTGATCAGGCTGCCACCCTTCCATTGCTTCTTAATCCTATTGGTCTTGTTGGAGTCAACTTAAGACTCATTTGAACAAATATGGAAGAACGAATAGGATACAAGCGGTATGTGACGTAAAGAGAAACCAATTATGACGTATTGGTTGAATAGAATTGAATAGAATTCATATAACAGATAATCGTAAGGCGGAGTTCAAAAACGCGGCACAGAGCGGGAAAACGCCATATGGTCCCCCAACGCGCGCCCTGAATCTAACTCATGTGCGGCGGAGCGCGCTTTCCCTCTCAGTATAATAAATTTACGTATGATCACTGTCGCTCTTTAATCTCCGTGCACAGGCATGTTCAGCGCCTATGTGTAATCAAGATTAAGCCGCCTAGTCTATGAAAAACATCCAATATTATAGGTGAAAGAAAGGATATTCATGGCCGGAGAATGTGTCGGTTCTGGTTTCGCGACGCCCGAAGAGAGGAGAGTGCAGCTTGGGAGAAGGAAATCTTAGACAGAGAAGAAGAAGAGGAGACGTCTCTGAGGTTTACATCGGAAGCCCCCTGGATCGTCTGCATAAGAAGACACCGAATCATCTACACCCGAATATCTGAGTACTATTTAAAGGCATATTCTTTCGAATCACCGTCAGAATATCATCACCTGCTTAACCTTTCAAAAATTGCCGTACGAAGCATCTATGCAAGATATTGGCAACCAAGAATTTTGCAGTCAGACCAGAATTCAGTACTTTCTATACTATTTGAATCGCTATTTCGCTTTTTTATATGTTTTCTGCGCTGCTTGCTCGCTTCAATCGCATATAGTTTGCATGGTAGACGCTATGCGTGTGACAAAAGGCGATTGGCATGTTTCTGCGAAAGATAATTGGCTCAAATCAACAAACTTTTTCTGTAAATATGATGAGCTGCAAGAAAATTATACCTAAAAGATGCCTGAAACCTAGTAAATATTTTGAGCTTTCTTTCGACTCAGCAGGAAAAATTTAAAGAAATCATGAGTTTTAGTTGACGTAAGAAACATGAAAAGCAGATTCTGGTGGAGTAATCACCATCTTATCTAAAGCGAATGCACAATTAATGCAAGCAATCGCGAGTTTTTCTTTGTCTACTTCTACGTGAACAAATGAAGTAACCAAATAGCTAGTTGCATTATCGTATCAATTATACTTACAAGGGAACGATACTTGGTGTCCGTGGCCTTTGAGAGGAAACTATTATGCCTTCACTTCTTCTTCAGTAATTTCGCTATAATCCCAAAAATCTTTTATGCGCGTTTCATGACGTCCGTAATCGTTGTATTCGACCGTTGAGAATTCAGCAATGCATATGAAACTGCAGCAAATTCTTCACATCTCGTTCAGCAAAGTCTCATCTTGCCATTGGGTTTCTTAGCAAATAAAAATCTTCCCTACGTCCCACCATGTTTTCCTACTCACGGCAGCTTGAGTCTTTCCAAAGTTCTGTGCGAAAATACCACTTTCTTTGCTCTCTTGATTCAGATCGTTTTGGTGTCCCGTACTTGTTACTTTATGTTCATTTATTTTTTCTTTTTGTTGTTTTCTGTCACATGAGGAAAACGCTTTGTAGGGAGTGCTTACTCGAGTATACTACGTTTATGTTGTGAACGGCGAACTTCAACCAAGTAGTAATCACTCCCAACATCAAAATTTTTCGATGTCGTTGTCGTTTTTGTTGTTTTCCGTTTCTGTTGTCGTTCGATTTACCCAGCGTTGCTTTACTATCCGGGCCTTGAAGTTCGAAATCGTAAATTTTGAAACTTGCTTGATAGGCGTTATTAGACATGTTCATCATCATTACGATTTTTCATTTGGGACCTTTTTCGTTACTGTCGGTATATTCGTATATAGTGGAGATGGGGGGAGGGAGGGAGGGGGGGGGGGGGAGGTCGCCGATCTGCTTGAATCAGCGGAACTCCGAAGACAAATAATATAGGGTTGCCTAAAATCGTTACTGGAAAGGAGGCACTGAGCAACTTTATTATGTATGTCAGAATTTCCTGCAAGCTGGAACGACGAGGGGTTAGGCAAAAGGATGCGTAGATATGTATTCACTTTGAAAAATTGCCAACAAGATTTTGAATGCTATTTTGAAGCACATCGTATCACTGCGTGAACCACGCGGACGTGCTTCTAAACGATTTGAACCTGCGGAGTGTCTCCCAAAACACAAAAGAAGTCAAGCATATAAGAGCCTACCGACCGAGCTTAAAGAGGAGCTTAGATTCGAATTTTCAGAAAAAATTTCGGTTGCGAAAGCACCTTTGATTATGTTCGCGCAAAAGTTACAACACAGCTTACCTTATGTCGAAAAGACTTTAATAGATGTTAGCCTAATATTTTTTAGGTATAATGGGCGCTGTGTCAAATATCTTCTTCTCTTTTTTTCTGGCCCTCAACATTGAATGCGCCAACGGCCAGTACTTGGAAAAACCATACCAACAGCAGCAGCCTTTCGTAAGTAGTCAGAACTAATTTTGAGATTTAATGAAAACATTCTATTTTTAATTAGTCCAGCCGTTGAAGTGTGATTGCCCCACCTTTCGGATGATAGACGGATTCGCACATCTAACAAATCTAATTTTACTACTGGTGTCGTTTTATTTCCAATATCGATTCGTAAGTAAATTTTCACAATACAAAATCTCATTTAGGTGAAACACAATCGGGACAACGGGAACAACGTTCGCCAGAATAATGCCCAGCTTGCCAACGGACTTTATCGCTAGGAGCTCCCCGCCTTAATGGCAAATCCTGCCAATCCATTTCTGACTTGAATGAAGAAGCTACCTGAACGAAGGCGACCTTTTAAAGTACGCATCTCCGCTTCATCTCTACTTCAAGACCCACTTCCATGTTATTTTTTGCATTTTTACATTTTCACCATTCTAATGGCTCGCAAAAAACCTTCCATCGCCACATTTTGCGAATCGAATTTTTTGTCCATCGCTCCAAAAAATTTTCAGAATTTTGAATTTTCAGAGATTTTGTTTTCTTTGCTCAGACACTGATCTCATGAAAAACACTCACCTCAACACTTACTCGTTTGCTCAATTTGAACTTTTTCGTGTTCGTTTTATATTTCAGTCGGCAAAATGCCCTTTTGTGTCAGATATATCTTGTTGCATGAATAAACACTTGTGCTGGAAACAGTTTCTTGCATGTTAAAGGCCCTGGCCAGACTTCGGTCAAAAGCGCCCAAAAGCGCCCAGACTTCTCTAATCCCTCCTCACTCTCTCTCATCTCTCCTAACATGAGAACGTGAAGAGACACCAAAGAAGTTTGGGCGCTTTACAGCGCTTTTGAGCGCTTTTGGGCGCTTTTGAGCGAAGTCTGGCCAGGGCCAAAGGCTCAGAATGCCATGCATTCCAATTTTGGGGTCAACGGGGACTTCGTAAAAATTTGCGGAGCAATGGGGGATTTCGTTTTCTAAAGTCCTCCAAACTAACGCGTGCCGGGCCCTGACCGATATCCTCTTTTCTCACAAGCAGCCATATTCGTGTGGCGGTATAGTCTATAGACATCCTTCTGACAGCTAGACTTAGTGATGTGCTTATTGAATGATATGTAACCTCAATATTTATGTATGAAAGATTGTTCCAAGCAACTACATTGTATTTCATGCTGAAATCGTCGACGTCTCAAACTTTACTCTTTAAAAGAAAAGTGTTTGTTTCTTTGCAGGTGTTTGTTAAGTCTTGGTAACTTTTCAGGAAAAGGAACACCAAGGTATCTTGCCACCTCTTAAGGGCAGTGGATCGGCAAAACTTGACAACCCAGGATTTCAACCAAGTATGAAAATAGTGCAATCCCGGTTGCACAGCATGCCTTTCCTGTCGAGAAAATCGCTCTCAAATTTACACGCGCAGGCCAATCTTACACGCACCCGGACGAGTTGGCAACTTCCTTCTCACCATTGGAGGCTGCCCGCAGCAATGCTATAATCATTGAGTCCCGCAACGATTCAGCGCCATCAGCCTTGCTTCACTCGTCCAATCTTGAAGGGAAGGGGGTTGAAGAACGCTCATTTTCGCCGTTTTCAAGCTCTCCAAAGTGATTTTCGTGATCAGCGTATGTATTGAATAACCTCAGGTAAGCGAAAATTTGACTAAGTTGAGATTTGCCGAGCCACTGCCTTTAAAGTTAGATAATTTTTTTTATGGCAGTTACCCATTTTCGACAGATTAGACTAATGTTCTATCTCTTCTGATAGCTTTGGTTGAGATGTATCTCTATCAGCGTGAGTAAAATAGTTGGAAGTCTCAATGTGACCTTGCCTAACTCACTCCCAAGTTTTTGTAACCACGAGACTATGAGACTAACTACTGCTTAAGCTTTTGTTCTTCTCTGTGTTACAAAAAGCGCTCTGATGATCATCTTTTGCCCAGTATGTTACAAGTGTCAGTATAACAACACAAAAAACCAAATGAATGCACAAAAGTTGAAAAAAGAGAGCATTTGGCACAGAAAACGTGAGCGTAGATAGCAGATATATATGGAATGTCCATATCAGTGGCCTCTGCTGCTGAGCTAGTCTGTTCGAATGTAATTGCGCACTGCCTGACATCCTTCCCTTAACATAATATGTTTTGCGAAGTTTAAACAGACAAGAATCAATTGAGAGACTTACCTTTACACAGGTCCATAACTATGGCTCACGAAGGACAGCAAAACACTCTTTGCAGCAGTCCCAGCTAAACAACATGGAAACAAAAATAAGTGGCGGTCAATTTGATGATGACAAGAATGAGGGACATTGGCCAAATAGATAAGCTGTGAAATGCAAGAGTAATAACAGGAACACAAGAAAACAGTCGGTGCCTTCGAAGAGTCGGTTGATACTTTTGTGTTGCTTATGTACACTTCTATAAAGAAACTCCTGCAGATCACATCTCGTGAGCAAATATGTTTGCACAAAACGCGAAAGACAGAAAACTCGTCAACAAAAAACACGACAGAGATAAAAAAGGATCCAGATAAGAAGCAAAAAAATGTAAGAAGCGTGCAGTCACGCTCCGGTATAAATATTTCAAGGGCGAGAGCTGACAAAACTTGTCTTAAAGAGGAGAACGCGTTCGCGAACACGAATGACTCCAGCCCCTTAAGATATGCCATAAACAAGCCCTGTTGGACAGTGGCGTATCCAAGATTTCCGGAGGGAAGGGATGGGAGGGAGGGGGGACAAAAAAAATTTTTTTGGATGAAGGTGCGTGGCTTTAGGCACGCACTCCGAAAATTTTTTCGGGATACTTCCCAAAATTTTTGCAGGCCCGTGACTGCGAAATTTCAAAAAAAGGGGACATGGCGGCAGCGCCCCAGAGAAAAATTTTCACAGTACTAATTCGAACTTTTGAAATTTTCTAAAAATTAATAATTATTTACAAGTAAAAATAAGTCGCTTGCAAATTTTTATAACACATTCAAATAACTTCCGAAAATTTCGCGTCCTACTCTCAGGGTGAGGTCCTCGGTACGCCACTGCTGTGGTAGTATTTTAACAATACTCAAACAAAAGTCCCGTTCAAAGAGGGGGAATCGTTGGTTGGAAAGAAGGTCTCTGCGGTCTGTCTCTATTAAGGGAGGGAACAGTCGAAGTGGCAAATCACTACAAACTGCATGCTGTTAGTGGGAATTGAAACGTTGGCTTCAAATCTGTCTTCCGTATCTGCAGAGCGCCTTTCAGAAGGAAGTTATGAGCAGTTAAGCGGGAAATGAACTGATGGCCGGGAAAAAATCAATTGCTACAGCCTTCCCGGACCGTATGCAAAGCAGCGGCAGTCAGATTTAACTCGTTCTGTCTAATACATTAAAACATTTTATCTCTTCATTTGACGTCTAGAAAAGCTGTAACGATTGAATTTATCGTGGTCATTAGTTCATTTTTTCGCTTCAAAAATTGTTCATAACTTCCTTCCCCAAGCTGCTCTGCAGAAATGAAAAGCAGATATGAAATCACGATTCAAAATTTCGCTGTATGCAGCTTGTGGTAATGGTACACTTTGATTTCGTAATTCTCCCTTGTAAGTACAATGATTGTGATTGCAGAAAAAAGGGGCTGCATTCCCGGATGAAGAGATATTGTCACATCCGCTGCCGGAGCTGAACATGGTGAGTCCTACATTTCCACCAGGGTCGCCTTTTAATATTTTGGCATTCAGGACGATTTCCTCAGTGATAGCGAAGACGACAGGCGGCCCAAGCGTCCTCGTTTTACCAAAAAAGATGTGCTAATAGAGCAAATTTTTCTTTGTCAAATGTGTGACGCATGCATGATTCGAGGCAAATGTCGTTAGCATCCAGGACCAACAAAATCTTTCGCAAATTGATGCGTAAGTGGACGTCTTCACTGACTATGTCAGAGACATCAGGACAGATCGCAAGACATTCGAAAGATAAATCACAGAAAATAACTCCAGCGGCAAGTTAAACATGGAAGATTTCGTCCTGTCAAGCCAGCAGCCGGTCTAAATTTGTTTCCTTCAGTACGGTTAGTTTATTATCATCTATATCTTCTGTCTCACTTTGTCATTCAGTCCTCTTTTCATGTATGAAATTCCATGTTGTTAATGCATTTATATAATCCTGCTATCATAATTTTGTTGTTTGTTTTCGACTATTACGAATCGGCTACCAAGGTTAGTTCATTGCGACTTTATTTTTTATTAGCAGCAAATTTTATTAGCAAAGCAGTAATTTTCGGGCAAAATTATGCTATCCACAATCATTTTAGCACGGGTCTGAAGAAACCTACGTTTGCTATTACTAAACATTCTTTCAGATCAAACTCAAAAGCGGTACAGTAAGTTCTCATCGCCTTGATCTTTCGTTACATCCCAAATCCAAATTGACAAGCAATCAAAACGTCGCTTTCAGCTTTGTTATAAGATCATGGTTAGACATATACGGTGTTCGCCTAATAGATTTTGCTCATCTTATTCAATTAACTTCACTCCATCAATGCAGTGGTGCACAAGTTGCTATAGTGGAACCTCCTTCAAGCCGATTACGAAAGAGAAATTCGAAGTCTACATCTCTAGCAGTCTCGCTACTATAATTGGAAGAATTCGAAGTTCTACATTCTTCAAACCTTCGCATTTTGTACTGCTCAAAGGTTCTGAGCCTTAAAGGTTTCGTTGGTTTTACACCCAAGCTCCAAGCCATCAAACACCCCTCTTACAAAGGTAGCATATTTGATCGAATTCGCTTTTATGGATGGGATGTAAACCATATTGGAGGTGCATAAAACGCTGCCAAATCTGCCCTCCTAATTCGCGGAACATTTATGGCCGAGGAGTTATGAGCGTTTGTTGAAGTAGAAAGTTGAATGTGCAGGTAGGGAAAATATAGTTGTAAAATTTTTTCTAGCGCTTTATGGAACAGCGGCAATTATCAGAGCACTTTATTCAATAAGCGCTCTAAATTCAAAAAAATATATTATACATTAATTGCTTGCTTTAAGAGTTAATAAGATTTTGGCAACGATTTTTTTCTACATACACGTTTGATATCTGCTCCAATTAACGCTCATAACTCCTCTCAGGCAAATTTGGAATCAACCTTTTATGCTCTTCGACACGTTGAACCCATCGAAAAGGCAAAGTCGACTAAACATGACTCCCTTGTTAATCCTGCTGTTCTTACTTTCGCCCTCCCACCATAAAAATAGTCAGGACAAAGGATGAGCATATCGAAAGACTACCGCTGTTTATGGCATTCCGCACCCGAAGCGATGACCGTGGCGGAAAGGACGTATTCGAGGCGCACAGCTATTTCCTTTGGCTCACTTCGCACTCGGTCACGCTTTTCGCCGTAGAGCGCGGCAAGCTTCCTGAACTTTGACACTTGCGGGGTGGCCTAAACAATTTCATTCTTCCAGTCTATTGTTCGTGAACGCTGTTTTAAGCCCTCTTCATTTTGTCGGGTCCTTTTTCCACTCCTGCATTTTTGTGAAACTATTACATGCAATTCTCGAGTAGACAATAGTTCATTACAGGCTTGGGTAGCAAGACAGAATGATCTTCGTGAAACCCTCTCCTGTCAGACTTTGACCCTTGAAGAGGACAATGTCCCAGGAATCAATGCAGTGATGTTGTACGTATACATGAGCACTCTAAACTACTACTTGGACGGTCTGATACGCACTCTTCGCTACTCATACAACTGCAAGAACATTTAAACGAAATCTAGAACTGTTGAATAGATCTTGCAAGCCTAAGAAAACAGCTACTGTGATTCAGTGACCTGCATGATCGTTGTTTGCAATTTACAAGCTTATGCTTAACACTGCTGCTTATCAGGAATGAAGCCTGTCAAGCTAGCAAAGCCAACGTACAGTTATTAGTTTGTGAGACATTCTCACAAATGGAAGATATGGGATACTCAGTCACGGACCTCTAACCAATCGCGACGTCTTTGTGAAACGGTAGGATGTCATACACTGCTGATTTGCATGCAAATCCCTATAGTTACTCATATTCATGTAATTTTTCTTACACTAGTATGAAGATAGCATACGAAGTTTCCGATACAGCATCGCACGAATTCTGCTGCTGCTTACACCACACGATATATAACAAAATTTATCAACAACAACAATTACTTCTTCTAGCCACCCTTGCCTTTAGATGAAACTACGGGTTCCTCAACTGAGTATCATGGCCATGCGCCGTCCACAGTAATATCTGTTCTCATGAGCAGCCATGAAGGCTCCTCCTCCGCAAGTGGGAAACTGGCATTCCTTAGGAAGACCTCTGGTCTTCCTGTTCTCATCGACCTAAAACGGTAACAGTTGAATCAGCAAGTAAGTGACAATACGGAAACTTCAATTTCGTACGACTAGCTCAGACACTAATAATAACAGTCATGAAACTCTCAGAGGCCTGGACACCAGGGCCCGTAGTAATCTACCCTACCAAGTGGCATCAAAGATGCCGACAAGTTCGCGAACCTCGCGGCATGTTCGTGTTTCGGGCGCAAGCTAAATCTTGCTTTAGATTCCCGTATTTTGATTTGTTTTTCTCTTTCGCACATGAAATTTTGATGTCGCTGATATCCGCAAAACAGCGACATCGCGCGGGTCCGAACCTGCGTGCGTCAACCTTAAGCGCCGCCGCACTAGCCATTCGACCACAAGTTCAGTTTCTCTTGTCTGCGGCAGCAATTATAGAAATGCCGCCTAAGTAGTGAGCGCCTGTATGTGAGCATGATCAATACAATGCGCGATGGACGTTGACCTGAAAAAACAGCTGATTGATAAGAGCGAACGAGAGACGAAACCGTTGCAAGTGAGATTTGGCAATTGCAAAATAAAAATGGCATTCTTTATGGTATTATAATATCAGCAATTGTTTCTTGTGCATACATATCATCAGTTTAGGGGAGAAAAACCCATATGATGGCTAAAATGATAGTTTTTTGATGAAAAATAAATTTTTTTGATTCTTTTGCTGGACGTAAATTGTGTGATATCGCCGCGTGACGCATTTTTACAGACGCCGTCGGCAAAGGTGCCGGCATCTGGACGTGGTAGGGGCACGTCCACATGCCGGCAGGTCGCACTCAACAAACTACACACTATTTCCTGCACTCTCTGACCCGCCGGCAGGTTGCGAGCTAGATGGCATCTCAAATTTCGACGAAAATAGATCGTGAACCTGCCGGCAGGTTCACAATTCGGGCCAAATAAATGGCAATCGAGGACATTTTTTGGATTTCCTTTCAATCCCATACTATTTCGAAAGCAAAACTGGACCGTGACACAAAAAATAGATGATCAGCCGGCTTGGGGGTCCCCGGAGGCAGTTAGAGATTTTAGGGACCTCAAGTCCACATCAGGGCGACCTCAGGGCATGAGATGCCGGCAGGTAGGGTGGATTACTACGGGCCCAGATAACATGATCTTCATTGCTAAAAAACGTCGCCACTTTATGACAAGGTTCTTACCTCGCACTTCTTCAGAACAGCAAACTTGACCTTCTTTCTCTTATGCTTGATTTTTTTGGGAGTAGTGTAGACCTTCTTCTTTCTCTTCTAGCACCTCCGAGTAATCTGAATACAAAATCGTAAATAATACCAACACCGATGATTTGGAGATGTTTCCATTACCAGCTCTAGCTCAGGTTACTCCCTCAAATACAGTCATGATACTCTCAGAGGCCTGGACACGATAAAAACAGAGTGCTCATCATTACCAGAGTGTTGTAACATGATGCGTAATACAATGCGCAACTTTCTGATGAAGCAACAAGTGGTATACCTGAGCGAAAGATGAAGAGTCGAATATGGCTCGACTTCATCGTCATCCAGCTGACGACCTAAAACATTAGCAAGCCACGCAATGACAAAAGCTGGTCCGTCCTCAAGAACTATCACTGACTTTCTCGAGATTCAGCAAAACAGTGACAAGATATGCAGATGAAAAAATTACATACTGAAAGAAGCTATCGGAACTCACCGGCAAAAACTAATCGTTGGTCCTGCACACTGACTCCGAGTGCTTCGATGCGTGCTTTTATTCCTGGGACATTGTCCGGGTTTCACGAAGATCATTCTGTCTTGCTACCCAAGCCTGTAATGAACTACTGTCTTCTCGAGAATTGCACGTAATAGTTTCACAAAAATGCAGGAGTGGAAAAAGGACCCGACAAAATGAAGAGGGCGCAAAACAGCGTTCACGAACAATAGACTGGAAGAATGAAATTGTTTAGGCCACCCCGCAAGTGTCAAAGTTCAGGAAGCTTGCCGCGCTCTACGGCGAAAAGCGTGACCGAGTGCGAAGTGAGCCAAAGGAAATAGCTGTGCGCCTCGAATACGTCGGCGGAAAGAACAGTCTACTGAATAATCGAATATTGCGGTCTACAGACGCAGAACGATATAAAGAAGAAAATCGGATGTGACAAGCGCTCATTCTCACTGTTCATTTTTGGACTTTTTGCAGATATCCAGATCCCTTCAACGCTTTCCTAGCCGAGGTACTTCACACGTTAAGATTCTACTGTTGATATCAAAGTCGACTCGCTTCTGTCCCTGCACAAAGCTGAAGAAAATGTCTTATGTCTATTATCCCGGATGTTTTTCGCGAGACTAAGTGCTCTCCCGGTTTTACCAAAGTAGAGCACTGCAGTTGAGGTATTCTAGTTCATAAACCAATCTCACCTTCCCGCAATTATCTGTTTTACCATGCAGGAATCTGGCAGACTATAAGCCAAAAATAAGTCGTCCATAACATCCGATTTCCTTCCGTTCGTATCGTTATGTGGTTCGTACATCACATTCAACATCCGATTCTGGTGTAGTCTATTTCTTCCGCCACGATCAAATCCGGTGCAGAATATCACATTTGGTAAACTCAATTTCTTCCTGACGATTTTTATAGTAGAAAAGGAGCGGAGGCCGAGATAGCCGAACTAGAAGGAGTGTTTGATGGCTTGGAGCTACGGATGACGTTTCTAAGCACTTCTAGGCCTAGGAAGACAAAGAGTCGAAACGTTAGGCGGTGATTAGATCAATGAAAACCCCCTATAAAACCTGTGTGGCTTAAAACACTTGAAGAATGAATTGTAACATTTTATTGTAAAAAAATCATACATAAAAACAGCGAAATTGAGCACATTGTTGCACTTTTAGCTCGGCTTCTGGCTTCAAAAATTTTAAGTAAGCTAGCTGCATGTTTTGGCCCAGCATTGAGGCGAACTCTGAGACTGTTTTCAGCTTCAAAAGATATGACTAACCCGCTTTTCCAGACGTGAAAAAAAGCTATCTGGGCGGACGGCGTATGCCTACCCTCTACAGCGCGATTGACTCGTGGAGATACCGTACTCACTGTATCCACGAGCCAATCGCGAACTAGAGAACAGGCATACAAGGTCCGCCCAAATAATACTTTTCACGTCTGGAAAAGCGGGTTATTGATATTTTTTAGGCTGCAAAGCACAGTCTGAGACTTAGCTCATCCAGGGGAACCGAGAACGATGAAGTTCCCAAAGTGTCATTCTGCCGAACCGCTGCCTTTGGAGTGTCTTTTTCGGAAAAGCTTCCGAAGAAGTCGGGATAAGTTACTTTCTACTTGTGCCAGATAAAAACGTTGGCTTCAACAAGAGGCTCAAGTAATAAGACAGCAAAGCTACACAGGCGCCTTTCAAACAACTCTTATTTGAAAGACATAATTTTCAAAGTTTGTTGCAGTAGTAATCTAAACCTCTGAGTAAATCAGTAAAGGGTATGAATGGAAGTTTCAGAGAACATATGCAGAATTAGTTACAAAAATGGCCTTTTTACGGCAAAGAAGGTCGGAAGTCTTGCTCTTCATCATCCATCGAAAGCTCGACTGATTATTGATTCAGATTACGATTACTAGGAACGAATTATCCTTGATGAAGTTTCTGGACAAAACTTGGAAAAGGATCCGTTGAAATATCCTAGATGATTGTAATTTGTGAATATAGGGGCCATAAAATCATGTGGCACTGGTATACTGATAAAGTTAAACTCCGTCCTCTATGCGAGGGTGTGATTGCTGACTCTCAATGTAAATAGATTCAGAAATCAATATTGTTTATCAAAATATGCGAGTGATATCAAAATGTGGAAATACACGTAGGAAGTGATAGCGAAGACAGAATGATCTAGTTTCAAAGACGTATACATACAGTAGAATTTCTAAGCAAACTAATAAATGCACATAGGGTTTTTGTTAGGATACATAATTCAAATAGGAGCGTGCGCAGGGAATTTCCAAAAAGATTTTGTCACCTCCCCCCTCCCTCCCCCCCTCCCCCAAACATTCCTGCCACCACGCCTATCCTGGGAAGATTTACAGGTTGAAATTCAATTCATGAAACAAGCCACTGGCAGGCATTTTACGAAATACATCACTCATTAGAGTTTTGCTCTTAACATGAGTCAGACATACACTTAAAATATTTTGTTGCTAACCGAATTTCTGTAAATCAAAAATCAAAAACTAATATTTGTGCAAATACCAAGGTGAAGATACTAAGAGCGATATGGTTTGCATGAGATAATTGCTGATTAAGCAAAGTTTCATTTCTGAGTTTTTCCTCCTCAAGCTGTTTTTCTTTTTCTAACCGTTCAGCTTCTTGCTTCTTTGCTTCCTTTTCCTGTTCCTCTTTGTGTAAACGTTCGGCTTCCTGCTTCTCGCGTTCCTCGCGCTCCAATTTTTTTGTTTTGGGATCTGAAATTCGATTATATTTGAACATAACGAATTTTGGTCGAAAAATATTAGGTCAAATATAACGAATACTGGGAAAAAGTTATTATACGAAGCACCGACCTTTATAGGGCTCATCTGCCGCTGGAGCGGGTGGGGTTGTCGGTGTTTTTCCTCCAAGCCTTTCCTTCATTTGTTGTATCCACTCTTCCTTACCACTAGACACAAGCAGCACTTTTGAGCCATAATGTTCCTCCGGTGGATATTTGCTGATAGCTGGAAATGAGAGCGCTCTATTAGTGAGCTCAGGCTTCAAAAATCGTGGAAATTTAGGGTTTCTACAATGCAACTTCTCCACTGCAGTTCTAGAGGCAGCCAAGACTTGAACTTCTTTTAGAAATGATAGGGCACCAAAATGATAAATCTTGACTCAATAAAAGTAGTAGATGATACGAAGGGCGCTCTTTTTTACTGTCCTCTATCTTTTCTAGATCGGCTTTTTGAACCTTGCCCTCATACCGTTTTACTGGTGGCATACAATCCTTTCCGATCTAGAAAACTTAGAAGAAAAAGAGTCAACAGTGTTGTTTGAAACATAAATATATAGGAAATCATGGAAAGTGAACATTCGAGAATGGGCAGCAAAATTTTTGAAGTGGTCTAATGAGTTTCATTATGATATGCAGGTAAAGGATAAAGGTTTCGGCGTCTTCAGTACCCTCTGCGGTCATACGCCGAACGCACACTACTTCAAAGTCGAAGAGGCAATTGTCGTGCGGGCCTATTACAATGACTTGCAGATTACCAAGTCAGTGCTTTCATCATCCCAGATTACTCTGGTACCATACCGGCCCCGGAGGGTAGAGGGCATGATTGGCCGCGGGGCGTGATCGAACTTGGGTTCAGTGTGGTCAGCGGTGCCTGCCACTACGCCACTCGCTCCCAATATGCAGGTAACTTGATTTTATCTGAATTTAGTACGATCCCGCGGCTTCAGTAAAAATTGCTTGTAAAAAGTTTTGCTAATGATGTTTTTTTATTCCAGTGTTATAAATCGTGAAGAAGTTTGAAATACCCTGAAACGTTTCGAAATGGAGAACGTTTATCACGTAAAAAATTTTTATCCTTTTCTCAACCGCGAAAAAAGTTATTGGGACCGCCAATGTCATGCATGCAATTCAAACACAGCAAAAAATTCTGTGAGTAGAGGACTAGATGTCGCCTCTGCGACAGAACACGCAGCCGTGCATGCTATAGACATTACAGCAGATTGTTCCAGCTGTCCGCGCGGGTGGAGCCTATCAGGGTTATATAGTCCCCTACCCAAAGCCAGCTTGCATAGTGCCATGGGGGGGGGGTGAAAGATCTAAAACATGTAGACACCCTGTGCTTCAAATGACTAGTAATGAGATTATCTCATATTTTCTACCACTCACCAATATCGCAATTCTTTCCACCATATCCTTCTTGACAATCGCAAAAGTACGAGCTGAAACCTGCCGTCGTTCTACATGTCCCGTTATGCAGACATGGATTTACGTCACAAGGCCCTGAACACATACATTTGATATATAGAAAAACTTTTATGTAATTTTTCTTACTTTGGTCGCATTTTGGTCCTCCAAATCCTGGTGCACAATAACATTCGTAGGTTGGTTTTCCTTCTTGCACTTTAGCTGTACAAGTGGCACCATTTTGACATGGATTCGTGGCACAAGGGTCAAAGTCTGAGAAGTGTGGGAGAAAATTATGACTGGTGAAATAGAAATTTATATGCCTTACCAATTTTCTCACTGCAGTTGTTACCCGTAAAGCCGGCTTGACATTTGCAATAATGGGTGTTTTTCTTCCAAACGAATACGCAAGTGCCATTATTTTGGCATGGGTTGGCAGTGGCGCATATGTCGGTCAAATTGGGCTCTGGAATTACAGAATTGTAAAAATATGCGCAGATTTGTCAAAGCAGGTTTCTCTATCATCGGTGAATGGATACATTTGGAAAATGAAAGTTAGGTACAATTCTACCAATTAGCAACAGAAGACCAGCCAGTTCTCGCATACCATATTCATAAGTAAATTTACATAGCTTTTTCTTACCAGTATGGGTCTTTGTGTACTTGTACATCTCTAGACTACTGCTACTTTTTGTTTCCTTCTAAAAAGTCCATGAATGAACAAATATCACAAGGGCTTCCGAAATGTATAGAGCAAGCATTTTTTGCCGGGAACGTGACAAGGACTTGCAGTTAGAAGCTACTTTATTACAACAGTGGCGCTTGAAGGATTTTTTTTTCAAGTATAGGGGGAGGGTCATATTGAATGAGGTGTCCTCAGCCAAGTTTGAAAAAAAAAACTTCTTGGTAGCCTTTAGAAATTTTTGCAAAAAGCATAAGCCGCTACATAGGGGAGGCGTGATGTTAATCCAAAAGAAAAATTTACGAAGCTTTTTAGAGTTCATAGTTTCAAAGACGGTAAGCTTTTTCACGATTTACACCGTTTACATTTACATTACCATTTACAGCAAATTATATTCTTTCTGGATTTTGTGACTTATTTAAAAGCATACAAAAATTTCACACCACTTCCCTGCTCTACCCTCGAGTCCTCTCTGATATTCAGATATGAATAAACATTGTAGCAATCAAGGAGTGAGAGAAGAGTAAGAAGGAAATAGACGGTTCTCAAATAAATCAAATGGAACTGAGGGAAGGAAGCCAAGTACGAAAAACATCAAACTAAGCTCCAACAATGTTCTGATGAAGGATTATCACTGAAAGACTATTGCTCTTTACCCTATCACCCATCCTTTCAGCTTTTCACCAATGTTATACTTTGATAAGTAAGAAAACTTCACACTCAAATGGCTCCTACAGAAGAGTTGGTCACAACTTAATAATTTTTGAGTTATTATTGCTTTATTGGGAATAATTTTGGCTTCATTTAGCTGTGTATTTCAAAGTGATGCTAAGTCATTAGCTGCTTATTCATCTGTTACACACATGGGATTTTTACTGTTGACAATAGTTTATATAATATATATCTGAACACTCACTGTAGAGATCTTCTAGCTTCTCCTTCATTTTGTGCTTATCTCCTCCATGCCATGGCTTGTGCGCTGAAACAAGAAACTTCATTTTTTCCAAGAAGTGATGGGAAAGAAAGATAAAAGTTAGACAGGATAAATTGAAAACAAATTAGAGTCTATTTACTAATGCTCGACAAATAGCAATAGCAGACATCGATTACATGGATTCTGAAAAAAATGTTACTCATATAAACATAAATCAATCCAAGGAACAACTCAATAAAAATTTGACAAGGTCATAAATTAATAATTATACTACCTCATCAAAGAAAGTGATCAAGTAAACAAGCATTACTCAAAATAAATTTTGAAGCAAATTTGTTTTCCCAGAAAGGATTAATCGGTATTCTAGAACTTACGATCCTTCTTGGCTGGATTCTCGCATGTCATTAAACAAGTCTGCTCATCTTGAAAGAGGTTTTCACTTTCACCCGTACAACCATCATACCAAAATGCGATACATTTCTAAAAACGCAAAATCAGTTCAAATTACAAAATCGAGAAATTCCTTCCATAGGACTACTTTGTAAGAATTAATGCAAAAAATCTTTTGGCTGAACTACCATCTCCCTCAAATGTCTGTAACAGATTGTACATTCCGAACATTAAATTTTCATAGGATTATTTACCTTAACATTCCTATCAAAATAATATTGTTGCCGCCATCGTCCGCCATTACACTGATCTTTATAATGTGGATCGAAATCTTGCAGACAAGCTCCTGCGAGAATTAAAGTAAGCATATAGAGGCACCAAAGCTAAGCGCTCTATCTCTCATCCAAAACAAAACCATTCAATGAGCTATTGTTCAAGCAAGAAAATTCCAAGAATGGCTATCATTTTAATCCCTTGGCAGAAGGCGATTCTGCTTTCTCTTTTCGTAAAAACCTACTTGACTTATACATAGGCTGAGTTTCGCATAGCCATTGGCATGTGAGCATATCTTCGAACATATTCCTCGAATCCGAACGACAACCATCGTACCAGAACTGACGACAAGTTAATGACGCGTGGTCGAAGTAGTAACGCTGCTGCCATTGACCTAAACGAGTGCTTGCGAGTCGATAACAGCAGCTGCTAGGGTGACAACTTGAGATATTGGGAATAAAATTGACTCTGATATGAGTGAAGGCCAAGAAGCGCATCCATATGGTTTGAAAATCATTTTGCATGCACCCTGTCATTTTGAAGTTCGACAAAATTGCCTTCGTTAGACTTCATGTCAGTCATCAAAAGTATGTTTACTTGGTCCAAAAATAACGTTATAGTGGCTCTAAAGGATACTAGCAAAGTATATTGCTTTCCTTACTTTAACATTGTTCTCATGAATTCCAAGTTTTTAAATAAGAAATATTATCACGATTAGGTTAACGTATACAATTACAGTCTAATGGCTGCAAGATCTTAAGGTCTTTTCCTGGTTGTGGTTTCAGAAGAAACGTACAAAGCATATCGTCTATGGAAGCAACAAAGAGATATAGTAGACTTTGATTACATGAAAGGGTGGATATATAAGAATTGAGAATCCAATTTGTTGCTCATAAAGAATTCCGGCTAATTTACGTTTCGGGCAGCCGACAATACAAAAATGTCAAGACTAATGGCTCAGTGTTTTGTTTTGGTTCTGAATATTTGTGAAATAGATAAACAAATCTTGAACTCCAATTTACTGCACATCAGTTGTATTCATTTTTGCAAACTAGACACTACGTTAATTCGAAACACCTTCTAGGTCGAAAACTTGCAAAAATTCAAAAAATGTAATGTTAGATACGTAAAACTCATCGTTAACGAAATTAGCGCAGTGCGACGGTTTTGTCGCGACAAATACGTCGCGATAGTTACAAAAGTATTTTTGAAAATTAGACCTAAATCCTAACCGGCAGTCTCGTAGCAGTCCAATGATGTTTTCAATTTCTTCGAAAATCTGACTCAAAAGAAATTGTAGCAATCCGACGGTTTTTTTACGAAAAAGCAGCAACGGACGAATTTACCGCAATCCGTTTTTTTTCCCAAGAGTTAGGAGCTCAGTTGTAAAAACTAGACAGTGCGCGAACAAACATTTTGGAACGACTTTCAAAAATACATTTAGAACAAGCGAGCACTCCAGAAAATTTCCATAGATGAATTCTTGATGTTATAAAGCTACTTCAAATTATAATTTGGAGTCCCAGGAACATAATCGAGATTTTTTCTTTAGAAAAGTTCCTCTTTAGGTTGTTGCAGTAAAAAAGACTATTAAGTTATAAATAAAACTAAAATGACTTTAGATCTGAGATGCGAGCCTCATAAATCTCGCCTACGTTCCTTGGCTCTTTTTCATCCTCCACTCTCCCGTCCTATGCTATTGTATAAGCTTACATTTTTGAGCTCAGCGTCTATTTGGAAGTTATTTCATAGTTTTGATACACTACGAAAACCGAGTGGAACTCGTCAGCGCAAAATCTTTTATCCTTGTGAATATCATGTAGATGTGTGCTAGCACATTAGTGTAATAAGTTGCGGTTGTTGCGTAATAAGTTTTGTCGCATTTTTTGTTCTATTTTTTCTAATAGCAGTAACCTTATCTCGAATAGACTGGAAATGTTATTGAAAGCTCTAAGTATGCTCTACAAACTCATATGCGTCATCTCCAATTTAGCACGAAACAAGAAAAGGTTTTCTGGCATTAAAACAAAAAATCCGAGCAGGCAAAATATCCATTTTCGACATCTTTTTTCTCTCCAAATTATCCTGTATTTTATTGGCGAACTTCATTCAAAAACTTGACAACAAACAAAACAAGCTAGCTTTTATTTTTGCACTGCCACTGTTTGTGCTTGTTCCCTCTAGACTGCCTTCACATGCCTAACATCAACGTCAAAGAGAAATTAGAAACAAGACTTTTCTAGAGTTTACAAAAGTGATTCTCGATGTTTTTTAGCACCTTTGAAGTCCTGCAGAAACTACAGCATTCGTTCCTTACGCGCAGCGGAATTTTCGAGCTGTTTCGTACGCATTCTGACTTATTTGGAAGGCGTCGAAATGTAGTTGTCGAAAATGATTGTAAGAAACTGAAATGAAAATTTTGGTAGGGCAGGCTTAGAGCTTTCAATGCATATTTACATTTAGCAAAACACCGTGCAAAATATGAGAAAAAATTAGAAAAAATGCGACAGAACTTATAGCACACCTAATATTTCTGGTTGTAATTTCTTTGATTCTAGTTTAATCAATAGTAATCCAGAAGCTTGAGATACGAATTTGAAGAGCACATAAAAAAGATCATTTTAACTTTTGTATTAGAGGCGTGGAAATCACTGGTGGAAGTCACTGGTATTACAAATATCGTAACTTGTTGTATCGCTAACACATATTCACCCAAATGGCATGGGAGCTATCAACATTTTTTTCTTCCAAGATGCATGCATTGCTGTATTGAATATTGAATGGCATATTATGTACATATTCCGCATTAAACATGCCAAGCAAGTCGAACATGAACTTAAATTTTGAAAAAATAAACTCACCATTAAGACATTGGTTCCTATAGTTCATATCGAATTTGTCCCAGCAAACTTCTGAACGAGAGGCAATCAGCGAGATATGTGTGATAAGGTAGACTATTCGAAAATCTAATGGCAGCACAGTAAATAAAACTTGTAGCATCGTCGAGGCACAGCGGAATAGGAAATTTAGAATTTTGAACCCGTTTGTGCAGATAGATTTTTTTACAGGGGAAGTGCACAGGCTGAATGACCTTTGTGCTGGGGATGGAATCCTGGAAGGGTCATTCCGTAACCTTAGTCGGGAGATCCTGCTAGGTGTGGGGGTTACGGTAGGGGATACGGTAGAACAGGAAGCAGGGCACGGCGCAGGTGGACGCATTTCATATTTCGAATCGAGTAGGCTTGATGTACAACAACACAGCATTCAGCTTCTCCAAGGCATTAAGCATTGATTCGGCCTCTCGACGGGGGTGGAGTGGGGACGGGACGGGCCACCACCACCAATCCCCCGAGAGAATAGAGGAAAAGTCGAGTCGAGCCGCCGACGGCTTGACTCGCTCTCTCTCAACGGCGGCTCGGAAGGGAGGAAATCGCGGCGACAAAAAGGGCCGCGCCCTTCAACCAAGCGATCTCCAAGCTTCGATAACAACTTTGTGGCCGGACGTCGTTACGTCGATTACGTCGATAATGACGTCTAAGCATCTGTTCGAAATTAGATTATAGTGTATGCCGCTGAAATTTGCACTCAAACTTGTCTAACGCTGCACCCAAACTCCCCTTCAAAATTATCCTTTCCTGAATTCCAAAAACAGATATTTATCTTACCCTGTAGCTCCCATCACACCCCAACCCATAAACAACAACCCTTCGCAAATATTCCCTGACTTAAGTATGACAAATTGAGCTGCAAAATATGAAGAAGAACTTTTTGAACTTCCTTGTGACCTATACTACTTGTGCTTTGGATACGCCAACTCATGATAATGAAAAAATCCAAACAAAGCTGTAAACGATATTATATAACCCTGAGAGTTTCATCCGCACTTTCTGTACATTCCATTTATCTTTAGCTTCTTTTGCCCACCATATGATATTAATAATTCCATCAAAGTATTATATTTCAATTCGATATTATGAAACAAAATTACATTTGAAGTTTGCGAGACTTGCAAAAATTCTACATTTTGGGCAGGATCGAATGTACATATATCTAAATGGGCAGTAAAATGGGTCATTCGCACTCAAATGACTCAAGTTCATATGAAGCCTTGTCATGCAAAGGAGAATCTTCTGAACCTTCTCGGTCCCCCAAGAAAGGATGAGACAAGGGGGAGGGGGCAAAAGTCCATTGATCCTCTCTACCAAAAAGTTCTTGAAGGCATGTCCCGGCAAAATTTCATTTTCCAGTTTTTTTTACCTTTTCGGAACTTTCTCTCCATGAAAAATCCATAGGCTTTTTAGCGCATGAAGATGGCGAAAATGAGCTTTTTTGAAGTTTTCCAGGTCCTCATTCAGCAGAAATAAATGTAAGTGGGCGGGGCCCGGAACGAGGGAGGCGGGGTGCGGAACAATTTCGGCAAATTTTCACCGAATGCGGACATGTAAAGTTTCGCAAAAGGTTCACTTTCGTTATTAGGCGCTGAAAAGTCCTGAGCTGTGTCAGATACACAAGTTCACCTCACATCGTAGCCTACTATCTCCCTGCACTGTACCATCAGCAGCAAATAGATATAATTATTGCAGCTGGAGCAGTGATTGACCACTTTGTCAAATTTTGAGACAAACTCATGCAAAGTGACCGATTTTAGAACCACTACATCTCCACATAAAGCCGGGCATATTTCACGCGATTTCAGTCGCGACGCGATTTGGCAGTTCGCCACAAGTCTTCGATGCAACACTAGCAAACCGTTCATGCATAGTGTGTATAACTTACGTGGATTGACAAAGTGCTCTAACTTCTGTACATTCAAAATGTGCTTACAATGAGTCTTGGACAGTTGGATTATTGCCAGATGGCGTCGCGACTGCCTTGATAATAAAGCAGGTACTGTTGCCTAACCTCCCTCCTTCACAGCTTAGGTTGATTAACAAAAGACTTTAATATACGCGCTATAGCACACCCTACCTGCCCTCGTAAGAATATTCGTTTCTTCACACATTTGCTCACAGGTTTCAAGATCGGAGAAGATATTTCGGGAACGTCCCTTGCAGCCATCGTACCAAAAAGCTTGGCACCTAAGAAATGAGTATATCAGTCTTCTATTAGCAGGTAGTTTGATTTTGTTAGGTAGGGAAGTTTACACAATAGAGAAAATGTCAAGAAAAGTTAAGTTTGCGAGGTTTTGGAAATTTCATCTAGTGATGTAGAATAATTTTACTAGCTAAAACAAGAAAATAAATTATTATGCCTTCTTGAACGAAAGGATACCAAAATTTGTTCTGAACTCATTCATTCCCATTCCCATTCATTTTTTAAATTTTCTCTAAGCCTCATAAAGCAAAAAATCAGAGTATTTCCTCTTCGCATGTTTTCCATTTATTTAATGATGGCATTCAGGAATTTTGCTATATGCCTTTGGCATGCCATGGACCAATCCAAGTTTCGTGGACCTTTTTCAAGCCATAACGTGGCGCAGTCAAACCCACCAGTCAAAATAGAGGCAGTAAAAAGTTTTGTGGAATAGCCAAAGCTCTTACAGTTTTGATTTATGGTCCAGAAAATAATGCTGCCGCCAATTTTCTCCACCACATGTTTCTTGATACCCATGATCGAATTTGTCGAGACAGGCATCTGAAGGGAAGAATGATTGATTAAATGAACAAATGCAAGAAGAATGACCTACTTTTTGTCTGCGTACAATTATATCCATTTCCAGCATATCCTGCCAGACATGTGCAGATGAATGAACCTTCTCGATTGAAGCATTCAGCGTTTTTATCGCAGAGATATGGAGCTCGCAGACATTCATTGACATCTACAAAAAAAATTGCTTCATTTGATATGAGCAAAGAGACTTGAGGAAGCTAAAAAGATTTATTTTCTGTTTTAATTTGCGGCTTTCGCCTTCTTCAATTTTTTCCAGCGAACTCAACAAAAAATGAATTTTAAGGACGTCTATAATGACCCTGATAGATTTCGTCGATAAGAAAGTTCTTAATGAAAAGTTTCATTCCAGATTTAATTACATCCACAAACGCTGCCCGCAGATATATTGTAGAAGTTCACTTTTTGAACTTTCGTTCTAAATGGTCAGCAATTTGAATGTTATGCAAAAATTCGTACATTTACGGAGATTATGATTTTTGAGTACTATAATCTAAACGCTTGTGCACATATTCGTAAGCCACAGTAAAATGGTATTAGCAAAACTATAGTAAAAAAGGACTGCTTCATTGGCTGAGCCGATCGGAAATTTCCTTATCCATTTAATTACTTATTTATTCATAATACACGAAAGTGTGCCAAAAATAGAAACCAAAAAAATTCTTTTTTCTTGGAGAAAAAGAAGTTGAAACTTTCTTAAGCACTTTCAAGATATTCAAATGTCACAAAATGTTTACTAGAGTACGTATTCACGTTTGGCAACAACTAAGAGGACCAAACAAAGAACTCTGAAATTTACAAGAAATTTATCTCAAGGTGTTCTCATTACAAAACCAGTATCATTCCTCTAAATTTTCTTGATAATTTCGATATTTATGAGCAAACTATGCGAAACCTACCAGTGCAGTTGAAGCCATCGCCTTCAAATCCTTCCTTGCACTGACATATGCCATTCTCGCAAGTGGCATCGTCCGAGCAGTCTTTACAGTCCATCGACGATCGACCTATTAGCTTTGATTTTGAAATCTAACATTCTGATGTCGCCTTTCTTGTTCCATATGGCCTCGGGCATACCTCACGCGATTTCAGTCGCCCCGCGATTTGGCAATACTCCAAATGTTCATAACTCATCCTACGGGGTTTCTGAATGTACGGAAGGGGGGGGGGGGCGTTTTATCAACCTACGAAAGTTATACATGCTGTGCATTTGAGGTCTTCCAGTATTGAATTTGAAGACATACGGCAAATTGCCAGATCGCCTAGCGACTGAAATCGCGTGAGGTATGTCCCTTGCCTATAATGGCTAAATCATCTTAACAGGTATGCGAACGGTTTGAAACGGTCACGCATTTTATTAAAGCCGAAAACTAGATAAAATTTCATATATCTCACAAAGTGGTTAAAGCATGAGATTTTCGAAAATTGAGCAAACGAGAATAATAAATACTGTTCTTATCAGTCTCGAGCTTCATTAGGTTGCAAATTTTGAATAACATAAATATTGAGTTCAATTATTTAGCGGCCCAATTGAAGAAAAAAATTAAATATCGAAACAGCCAAAAAAGAAAGAGTTTTAAAATAAATAGCCTAGGAATTTTTGTCGGTGAGGACTTTTTTCGGAACAACGCTTTGCTCGTCATTTCTGATACCCCGCGGGATAAACTTACCCAAACCAACATAAGTACAATGTTTTCCATCTCCTCTATATGCTGCCATGCATTCACAACTATAGGACCCAATAGTATTCGTGCACCATGCGTTTTTGTCACATACTGCTGTGTAACCTCTGCATTCGTCGATGTCTAAAGAGTACGGTAAGCATACTGTAACTGCAACTGCTTAGTTTGTACCTATGCACTCTCCATACTGATTCTTCTCATATCCAAGTAGACATTCGCAGGTGTAGTTGAACTTCCCATGTGATTTGCAAAACGATGTCCGTAGATCACAGCGATCGCAAGCTAGAAAAAAAAAGAAAATTCCTGAGAAATTCCTGGAAAGCAGAGTGAGCTTACCAATTTGCGGCGAAAGTCTTTCAGCACAGACTTTTCTACACATGTGAAGGCTATAGAATTTGTTGTCATTGCCACCGCAGCCATAGTAGAAGAACTAAAAGTGACTCCATCAATGACAGGACACTGTGTACTGTCTCAAACCTTTACACATATTCCAGCTTCAGAGTCGAAATAATACCACCACTGACCTTGGCGCTCGTCATCACAATATCCTGGATCGGGCTCAAGCAAGCAGAGATCTGCAAATTTGTGAAAGCTTAGATGCTAAAAAAAGTTGCAATTTTTTTTTTGAGAAATCGACTGCTATACAGTAAGCCTACAGTATCCCTCACCTGGTACAGCAACAGGATTGAACAGCTTATAACGGCACTGCTTCAGACATTCGTGTTTGGTGTTGAAGCGATTCTTCGTGCCCATACAACCACCGTAATGAAATTCTTTGCAGGACTCATCGGCTACGTCCCAAAACCATTTTGTCTGCAATATAAATGGAAATTTTGGTTGTTGACTTTTGTAGAAGACTGGAAATACTAAGTTCCATGTTCTCTCTTCTCTAAACCTTGGCATTCGGGAATGAGTTATTAATTGTTATATGATATTATGCCTGTGCCAGGTTTGTACGGTGGAATTCTTTATTAGCCTAGTCCAATAAAGTGCTTTTTCTAGAAATATTCTTGTAGGAAGCATATCATTATCATGCTCAATTCTTAGCAGTTTGCAAACTAGCCGGGAAGAAAAAGCATAAATTCTCATTAAATGAATGTATTTATTTAACCTGACGATGGAAAGAGGAAAACTCGATGCAAAACTGAGCTTATGATGTGAGTAATGGACTGTAACATAGCAAATGGTTTGAATACTTTTGTTAATTAAGCAAAATAAAACGATTTCAAACAGACCAAAACGAGACCGAAGTTTTCTGGAAGAAATCGACCTCTCTATTCGAGCGACTTCCAAGGTTTGTCAAGAAACAAAACTCATTTTTAGAATCTATCGTATATACTGTGATCTATGAAATATTTTCTACTTACCTGGTAGTACTGACATGGTCCTGGATCCACCGGCTCCAGGCAGCGATCTTCAGGGTCTAAAAAATAGCAAACAGTATTTTCTCTCGCAATCGCTGTCTATAATTTGTATCAGAAGTGTCCCATATTTTTTACCGTTACTATAACGGTCGTCTCTTTGTATTTTGCTATCATTTGGTGTAACCTGAGTAATTATAATTATTCGACAGGGGCAAAAGCTCCACTAGATGGCTGTGAAGAATCCGCTTAAATATATCACCGAAAGTTTTGAACTAAAATCTGATGGCAGTCGAAAACGTACTTTTCTTCAAAAATCATATCCTCGGCACAAAATTTCTTAAAATTTCCCCATTTATCCTAACGTATGCTTGACACATCGTACATTCAATTGTAATATTGCAGTATAATTTTTATGGCCAGAAATAAAGAAAAAAGTGAATGGGTTAAAATGGCAAACTCCGCCCCAAGACATTCTGAGCTTTTTCACGCACTGATCATAAAGCTCGTATACAGAAGTACGACCATCTATTTGTAAACTTTGAAGCCCCAGTTCTCGAGAAACGCTGATGTTTATGGTAAAAACGGTAAAAAATTATGGGACACCCTAACAAGTTTGGGAAGCATCTGATCAAAAGTCATTCTCATTCATGCAAGAATTTGTGTAGAGCAGGGCATTTGTTTAAGTACAAGGGTTTGTGGAATATGGTGATTATAATGCGGTAAGATCAGTAGATTTCAAAATGCTGCTTGAGAGACGATGAAAATGTGCGTCTATAGCTATGAGAAATTCCAATAAGGCTATTGAGATTCCTCTCATTACTCAAATTGTAATATTTATAGGTATTCTGTGCTCGTATACGTCAACAAGCTTCTTTGAAGCTGAAAATGGCAATTCTTGAGCTTACCAAAAATTGATTTTGAGCTAGCAAAAAGAAAGAAAATTTTGCAGAGTACGGATTTGAGCCCCCTAATACTTACTTTTGACTTTGACTGGCTCACCAGGAGCAGTCGATTGTACAGTAAAGAGTAATAACAGAGATAGTGGAAGCAGCATTGTTGAAGAGCTATTTATCCAGCTATACTAGGAAGCACCAAGTGGGAGAATGTGCCACTCCGATCAGAAATGCATGCACTCAGACGGATCATGGATGTAGCCGCTTGACATGCTATAGAGAGGGCATCTTGCAAGTAAGATGTTTTTTGTATAAGTTTCGAAGGTTTCCAGATGTTTTCAACGAAACGGCATGAAAACGGCCAGTTTTCTCAGTTATGAGCTGTACGGCTAGAAAAAAGCCACATTTAGGCCCTTTCTTTGACGTCAGTGCCATTTCACAGTCATTTCGAGTTTGAACTTCACATACTGAAAGAATACTTTAGTCACCTCATAAATAACGTTGGTTACCTCTGTTTCTAAAAGCTTGGCATAAATAAGAGGTCTGTTCATAGGTATTGCCCAAAAATCATAAGAAATTTGTTTGAAAAAATGTTCAAAACATTTATAATATGATCGTAAATGAAAGATATGTAATTTATTTTACAAGTCTTTGTTATCTGGATTGAATTTAAAAGACTAAATTCTAGAAAAAGGAGGAAAGAAATCGATTTTTGAAGTCTCGGAGAACATAACTGCTTGCAGAAATACTCGATTACTGCGAATTTCTCCAGGTCAAAAATAGTATCTTGTAAAATTATTTTTTGTCCTTTTTCTCGGCATTCTCAGCGAATAAAACTTGGAAAATAGCAACTTGCATCTCTTTGTCAGCCTGCACAGCTGCAGTTAAAAGTTCAATAAAAGTAGAATTTTCTGAAAAGAAGAGAACTTTTTTCTGCTGCTAGCTATCTGAGTAGAAATGAGATAAGGTGAGCAGTAGAGTTGAACAGAAGTGATGATAAGATCACAATTGAGGTGGTCATCTATGAGTCGATTTCATAAAAGCCTTACTACACGACTGAGGGGCTCAAAACAATCTTTTTTGATGCGCGAAATTCAAGATTTAATTTTTAATCTTTACATCGAGCACCTACCCCATAGGAAAGTGATCTCAAAGCTCATTATCTTCCCCTTGCTAGGACTCTATCTGCGAATTGTTCTTGTGATGGAAAGCGCTAGCAGGTTCAGTGCAACGAGAATTTTCTAAATTTCAATGTGCCCGATAGAACGTTTTTTATCGAGGTGCGATAAAAACCAGGGTCACCCTTATGCAGGGCTTGAACATTGCATCTACGAGCCCCTAGGAATTACTCTTATGTGAGGAAAGTTTTGGTCCCTTTCGAAGCACATCAGCAGTTTATAAAAATCGTTAAAAGTTAAATTTTGTGTCAATCTCATCTTTTCTACTATTCGATTCAATTCCGAGCAGTCGCAAGCTCTAACAGCATCCAAAATACATCGTGTTACAATCCTGTTCTGAAAAAAAGAGGTGCAGTCTCTTTTCTCTGGTCATGTATACAAATCCATTACTGAGATTGGTAAAATATGTAAGAATGCACTTCAAGCTCAAGCTTCCAAGCTCAATTGTCGATGAAGTTAGCACTGTAATATGTGCATCAAATCAAATGTGTTTGGCCGTCACACGAGGCTTATACTTGATTTTAATCGACAGTCGTTTCGGTGCTTTCATCTTCGTTAGAAATTGAATGACTGAAGACATAAGTAACCTGCACGCTTAAAACGCCTTGTCTTGAAGCAATATATGGCCCAGTCATAAATGACAACGCAGCAAAATGTAGCAACCCATTTCGACAGCTGTGTCACTATGGTGCTGGGAAATTGGCTTCCAGTCAGCTACTGCAGTGCGTATTGGTGGAAGTGTAGAGTCGCTAACGATCGTGTTCTTATATGGCACATGAATTCTTTATATATCAAATCTGCATGGAGATTGAAGTAGGCCAAGTTACTAGTAGGAAATCCCCCTTTTTCCAATTATTTTTAGGCCTTTCAATGCAATCCAAAAAGTCTCCAATGATCTTCGGCTGCTAATTCATTCGTACTATAGACCGTCGAAGATTGCACAAAATGCTGATCTTCATGCCATTGCTTACGGTGCGCACCCAGGGGTGTGCACACATTTTTAGATTTCTTGAAGCTTATGCATGTAGCTTGCTGTTATCTCCTACTTACTAGTCTCCACATATGTATATGGCATGTGACTATACCACTCCCAGTTATATGCAATCGTCCGCTCATCTGAATGGGCAAAAATGTATAGGTCATTCTTAAAATCGTGACGACGAGTTTGACTGCGGTCTTTGGGCACACAGGAGCTTTAAGCATCTATACAGTTAGGCATCACTACAACTTTTAGCTCGGTCACTTCTGTTGTTTGACTACTGTCATATAACCATTCGATTAGAGATAGAAACCAGGATGAGGTTGCTGAAAATGCGTGCGTGTCGCGTGCGGTAGGTCCATCGTCACGATTTCTCAAATGCTCTAGTACAATCGGAGCTTATGCAAATTGATCACGCACGAAATTGCGCATCAGTTTTTTGAGCTTAGATGGTGATGTATCCATAATTTTGACATAATCTTTGAAGCCCACATGATGCAAGCATTTTCTGATGGTTACATGGTTTTCTAGAAATCCTCGAAGGCAGCGTCCGGACAAATTTCGAACAGAATTTTTTCGCTTACATGGGCTTATTCTTTTCGCTGAATTCGAAAATGCAGCTTGCAGAGTCGAAAATGTCGAGAACGGACTACTTCAGAAGCCACATTTTTCAAATCGGACGCTTGCCGCTGAGGTTAAAACGCAGAGTCGTAGTAGGACCCTACGCCTTGACTGTGTGCGTTATAGGCACTCTGGCTATCTATTGAGGGGGCGGACAGGTCGCCGAGGCATCTTAGTTGCCACTTCTGAAGCGGATTTCTCGCTTCAGTACCAAATTGAAGCGACGCTAATTGGGCAAGCTTCATCAGGGTGGGAACTGCAGCAGTCTATGTTTTTCTTGCAATTATTAAACTGCCCGGTTGCTGCGTTTAACAGGTTGACGACACGCAGATTTTTCGTTGTCTGCATTTTGGCACCGAGGCTTTTACGGACCAGACAACAATCTTTGGATTCCACGCATACTGTCATTTACGGTTACTTTACAGCAGCTTTGAAACGCTGATAAAGAAATGAAGGATATTTCTACATGCAAAGGAAAACTCCTAGAGCGAGCTAATTCCAGGATAGTTGACAGTTTAACGAACTACAAACCTTGACACTACACTTGAGTCCGAATCGAAAAGAAATTCGATCGTTCGAATTAAACACACGAATATATTCGCATTCAAAATTCAATATTCGGAGTTTTTTCATTTTTGACTAATATTCGAAACTCGAATAATGGAGAAAATGGGATTTCGAGTAAAATTCAAAATTCGAATAATTAAAAAACAGGGTTTCGAGAACTCGAATAATCAAAAAAGCGGAGTTTCGGATAGATTTTATTCGAATGTTTTATTCGAATTCGTATTTGAATGAACTCCGTAATCAGACATTCGAGTTTGTTGCAGAGCCAACTGATGAGTATCAAGCTCGTTTCGTCTGCGTTTTTTTTTCGCAAAACTCAGTAATGCGTCATTTTGTAGCCGTGATGACCTTTGAACTGTATGAAACGCAAGTCTCCAACTGCTTGCGACAGTAACAAAATAGGTATGGATTTTAATTGATGCTTTTTCGATGGATGACAAAGTTCGCACTGCTATTGGCACCAAATTAGCGAAAAAACACAACTATCGAATTCATGTTCATTATCCGAGTTCATATATTGGAACTGTGTTGACAGGTGTTTCTTCTTCTTTGCGTTGCTCATGCTTTTGGTACGCAACGGTCCACACTAGTGAGCACTCAGCCCGCCTCTATTCTTTGCCATGGTGGTTTTTCGCGAATTAGCGTATTTTGAGCAAAGGACATCGTAAGTGTAGTGGAGGATTCATTTTGCACTTATATCACCTTGCAATAAAGTTTGGTTTAGTAGATAATGGGAAGTGAAATATGACGTTTTGCTGATATATACACTAGTTGCCAACCGGCCAACTTTATCGATTTTTGGAAAAAGTTACGGGGCTG